CCACACTCCCTTCCACTTATCTGTTATAGCTATCCCTCTCCAATCTGTTGTTTGCAACAAGTGTTTATTGACAGAGAACAAGAGCAGCTACTGAGTAAACTGGGAGGAACTGAGCACATGCCTGCAGTCAAACCCAGCTCACTCCTGTGGGAAGAGGTGTGGGACAACTTCCAGCCCCTTCCCTCTGCTCCAGGAGATGCCACAGATGGGGCAGCACAGAAATCCATCCCCTCAGCAAGCAGGGAATTAAAGGGTAAATTAAATTGTAAAATAGAGCCATGGATTGGTTTGGGTTGGAAGGGGTAATAAAGATCATCCAGTGCCACTCCCATGGGCAGGGACACCTTCCACTATCCCAGGGTGCTCCAGCCTGGCCTTGGGCACTGCCAGGGATCCAGGGACAGCCACAATTGCTCTGGGCACCCTGTGCCAGCCCTGCCCACCCTGCCAGGGAACAATTCCTGCCCAAAATCCCATCTAAACCTGTTCTCTGTCATTTTAAAGCCATCTCCCCTTGTCAATTCTCTCCCCATCTTTGTCCGTTCCTTCAGGTACTGAAAGTCCACAACGAGGTCACCCCAAAGCTTCTCTTCTCCAGGCTGAACAATCCCAATTCTCCCAGCCTTTCCTCATAGCAGAGGGATATAAAAAAATAAAACCTTAATCTGGGTGTCCATGGGATATGTTGGCTCTAAGAAACTGAACCTGCATGTGCTCACTCCAATACACTGATCAATGCAGCAGCAAATCTTCATGGGCATTTTACACTCTCACTTTTACTCTATGGGTTTGGGACGTGTCACAGCACAGCCCTGCTGTCACTAACAGCAGTCACCTCTCCTGACCTGCCAGGCAGCTCCAAACCTCACTGCACAGCAGCACTAAAATCACTAGGGTGCATCCCTATGATGCAGCTTCTTCAATTTCCTTACAAAGTTTCCTTCCCTGCTCTAAGACACAAATATGCACAAGACCTTAAGCAAGAGTCTCCATGTGCCACTACAGCTCCTCACAGCCTGGACTGTAACTCCAGGGGTCCACAAAAGCCTTAAATCTGTCCTAAAGCACCACAGTCCTCCCTGAAGGAGCAGCAGCAATGCTTGGCTGTAGGATTTCCTGTGCTTTCACCAGCTCTCCTCTTGACAAATTCTTACCCCCCTGTTCAAAAAGACATGACAAGAGCAGAACTCAGCTGCAAAGCTTTTAGGTCATGATCCTTGTATCACCACCAACTCGTTAGAGCCATGCCCTAATAATAAAATAAATATTTCTACGTACCTGGTTTGAAGGTACTTCCATAAACCCCTTTGGAAAAGCTCTCAATCCCAGAGGCACTAAAACACTCGGACCATGAAGTGTGGCCAATGCCCCCATCTAAAATTAGGCTTGTTATTATTTGCCAAGTCATGACACACAACAAAAACTCACTAGGAACAAATAAAAATATTGGAACTCACTGAATTCGGAAAAGACCTCCAAGACTATCAAGTCCACGACTAATCCTCACCTTGACACCAGCCCAGAGCACTGAGTGCCACATCCAGTCCTTCCTCGGACACCTTCAGGGATGGGGACTCAAACTCTGTAACTGGGAAGTTCTCCTTTTACATCTGACCATCCAAGGGCACGTGGCACTAGTGTTCTATTTCACCATTTATTCAATGAAATAATAAAAAAAAGGATTAAACTACCATAGTAGTGATCTAATTACTCCATATGGACACAAATCTTAAGAGACAGAGGCATTTTAAATAGAGTATTTTTTAACCATAGTAGCACCACGTCTACCTCTCACTGCAGTTCTTAGCCCAAAGGAAAAGGGACAAAGAACAGCACAATTGAGTATTTAGAAGCTGCCACAGTGACTTTGCACCATCTCAGAGGTGCTGGTCAGGCTCCCACACCTCCCAAAGCAACTCTTTACATAAGGAAAACCACCAAAATTACAAATTTCACACCACACTAAAAGCAGGGAATGGGAGACTGAGCAGCCACACTCCACGGCCACTTTGTGACACCGAGGGGACACGAGCAGCTCTCAGGACATTGTGGAAACCTCCGATGTCCCCGTGGATGAAGCCACACACTCACATGGTCCCCTCCCCACCTCAGGGCAAGGGATGAAAGGCAGGACTGAGACGAGGGACAAGGATCCACAGCAGTGGGAGCAGGGAAAAGCCTCTCCAAGGAAGCTGCTCACCTCCCCATATGTGAACCTAATATCCGTATTATCCCATTAGATCCACACCCATTCCTCCCGCACGCCCTGAGCTCTCTCAGGAAGCGGAGCTGAGTCACTCTCTCAACTGCCTGCTGAGATAATGCCTCTGCACAGAGGCTTGGGACAGCAAATTCACTTTACAGGCGTGCAGGGCATCCAGCAGCATCCCCAAATCCCACTGTGCCATGGGGAGAGTGCTCCTTAACACACCTGTGTCCTACCAGCTGTCACCACAGGCTCCTCGGCATAATTTGCTCCAGCTGCACCACAACCAGCAAATCTTCAGGTTTTCAGATGTTAAGAAAACTCTGTTGTGCACAGGGATATAGCAGAGGAGGGGGGAAAGGGATATAAATGTGCTATATGCACATGTGTGCATTTCATATATACACATCTCTATATATAGACACATATATAGACATATATACATTTCTGAGCTCCCACCAGCTGTGACATAACACAACCACAATACACCTTCCTGATATTTCTGCTTTGGGAAAGCCTGCACGCAGAATCCCAGACTATTTGGGGTTGGAAGGCACCTCTGGAGATCATCCAGTCCATCCCAGCTGTAACCTGGAGCAGGTGACACAGGGGACAGCCAGGTGGGTTGGGATGTCTCCAGAGGGGGAGACTCCACGTCCTCCCTGGGCAGCTGTTCCAGAGCTCTGCCACCCTTCATGGAAAGAAATTCTTCCTCGCATAGAGGTGGAACTTCTCCTGGCTTAGTTCATGGGCATTGCTCCTCATCCTGCCACTGAGCACCACTCTGGGACCATCCTTTTGGGGATATTTGCATGGATTTATGAGACACACAAAGCATTGTACAATATGTTTCACTAAGTCCCATTGCAATTAAGGATTTTCTCCCTGTCAGACAATACTGAGTCAACATCAGGCCCCAGGGCTGGTCATGGCAAGCAGGAAGAAAAATATTCTCAAGTCTGAATTTTCAGGTTAACAGTGCCATCCCCAATTCTGTTTGGGACTACATAACTGTTGCATCAATTTGCCACAACATCCAGTTTTCACAAGCAGTAAAAAAATAAAACATCAGAAGATTCACAGTGCCCTTTGTTAACAACACAAAGGTCCATAAATCACACAGAACCGAACTGAATATTCGTTTTCTTTAGGAGGACAGCAAAAAGAAGCTACCCCTCCCAAGACAGCCTACAAGAGAATGGCACAAGTTAGGGAATCCAGTCTTTGATTAGCTCTAAATCTGATTTATGTCCTTGCAACACTTCATCCACTTCCTCACATCCCTGGCACTCAGCAGAGAAATCCCCCAGTTTGGTGAGGATCTCAGCCTCCTCGCAGGAAAAAGAAAACAAACTATCAGAGAAACATAAAACTATTGCAAAATCATTACAAACTTCTCTGCAGAGCAGTAGACACAAAAAAATACAAACTAAGCACATTGCCTTGTGCTTTTTCAAACTGGGAAGGGGTTTTTTGTTCTTAAATTACATTTAAATCCAGTTTTCTTAATACACAAGCAATCCCCCACACCGAAGATGCAAGTTAAAGCATGTTATATACCAATCAGTCTATTTCATGCTTTTTTTTTTCCTCTCATGTCACTTTCAAATCAATTTCAAAACATTCCTGGAAAGCTGGGCCGGGCAGTCCCCCCCAGCACAGCACAGAGTTCCTGCAAAAGAGGAACTCGCTTTCGAGTGTCACTGGACTGTAACATCAGCTTATACTACGTGACAATTCGGTCATTCCAAAACACCCATCCCACACCACCAGGCAGATAATTTGGAAACTTAACGAGCGGCTGCCATCAGGGGCATTTCTGCTTCCCTGTGTTTGTCCTGCATCCTCAGTGCTGGAAGTACCCACAGGTCTCATACAATGTAACTGGGATTTTCTAACAGCTTTTAAAAATCAAGCTGTGGTTTTCTTGGGACGTGCACACAGAATTTAAAATTAATTCCTACAATTCGCTCAGGTTTTACGCAGAAAACTCCCTTCTTCCTGCTCGCTTTGTTTGAGGTTTAGCCGTGGCTTTGTACAAAAAGTTGTTCTTCACAACCAACCCAGCCCAAGAACTGTGGTGGGCATTGAACTTCATGTTTCCAACGTGAACAGTCAGATTTATTATTTCCTTCCCCCAGACAAACGCTCATTCACGCCAATAAAGTTTTGTGCGCCGCAGCCCCAAAATAAAACCTTTTACTCCAAACGCAACATCTTTAAACTCGTATGGGGCCCTTTCAGCACAGCCCTGCCCAAAGTCCGGCGGGGCTCGGGGCTGCTCAGCCCCGGCGGGGATGTCTGAGCCACCAGCCGGGAACAATCCCGCTCTGTTCGGGAGGGACGGAAGGAGCGCAGTAGGAAATGGATCCCAGCGCGCAGGGAAAGCCCTCATCTGTATGAACATCACACTGCCGCAGAACGACCGAGGCACAGCGCACAGGGCACGGGCTGGGCTCCCCACGGAGCCAGCCTGGAAGCGCAACCAGAAAGAAACTGAGCCGAGAACAACTCGGGGCTTGTGCGCTCCGCGCAGCGCTCGGGGAGCGACAGGAGCGCGGCACAGGCAAACGCGCAACTTCTCCCAGCGGGGCACGGCGATTCCCACACAACTCCTCAAGTTCCTGGGAGCCAGGAGGAGCCGGGCGGGGGAGGCAGGAACCGGAGGGGAACGGGGAACACGGCGCTCCATCCCGGCCGCGGAGCGGAGCGCGGAGCCGGGCAGGGACGGGGAGGCCGCGGCCGGGGGGTGCCCCGTGCGCAACAGGCGGGAGCGGGGCGGGCGCGTCCTCACCTACGCCGTACTTCTCCTCCCTTTTGGTGGGCACCCAGCGGGTCATGGCGCCGGGAGCCGCCGGGATGCCAGAGCCCCGCTCCCTACGCCGCCATTTTCCGACCGCGGGACGGGAAAAGTTTCTCCCGACGATGGAGTCATGTGGTGCGGGCGGAGCCTGCCCGGCCCGGCCCGCCGCCCCTCAGCGTCCCCTCCGCGGCCCGGGCCGGCCCCGCCGCTGCTGCCGGCCGCTCCGCACAAAGGGAACGCGCTCCTTCTCTGTGCTCGGTTTATTCCAGGTGTGTCCCAGCTTAGCCCCGGTTGTGTCCCAGGTGTCTCCCTGCCGATCCCCGGCCATGTCCCAGGTGCATGCGGTTATGTCCCAGGTCCCTCCCCACCTCTCCCGACTGTGTCCCAGGTGCACCCGGTTATGTTCTAGGTACCTCCCCGCCTATCCTGGTTATGTCCCAGGTGCACCTGGTTGTGTCTCAGGTACCTCCTCGCCTCTCTCCGGTTGTGTCCCAGCTTATCCCGGGATATGTCCCAGGTGCACTCAGTTGTATCCCAACTCCTCCCCAGTTATGTCCCATGTACACCCGGTTATGTTTCTATTCTCGCTTATGTCCCAGGTCCTTCCCCACCTCTCCCGGTTGTGTCCCAGGTGCACCCGGTTATGTCCCAAGTCCCTCCCCGTCTAGCCCTTGTTCTTTCCTAGGTGCACCCGGTTATGTCCCAGCCTATCCCAGGTTATGTCCCAGGTGCATCCGGTTGTGTTTCAGCCTCTCGCTGGTTGTGTCCCAGGTGTCTCCCCGCCTATCCCTGGTTGTGTCCCAGGTACATCCAATTATGTCCCAGGTCCCTCCCCGCCTCTCCTAGTTTTGTCCCAGGTACACCCCGCTATGTTCCAGGTACCTCCCTGCCTATCCCCGCTTATGTCCCAGGTGCACCTGGTTGTGTCTCAGGTACCTCCCCGCCTCTCCCGGTTGTCTCCCAGGTGCACCCGGTTATGTCCCAGCCTATCCCAGGTTATGTCCCAGGTGCACCTGGTTGTGTCTCAGGTACCTCCTCGCCTCTCTCCGGTTGTGTCCCAGCTTATCCCGGGTTATGTCCCAGGTAGACTCAGTTGTGTCCCAACCCCTCCCCGGTCATGTTCCTATTCCCGTTTATGTCCCAGATCCCTCCCCGCCTCTCCCAGTTGTGTCCCAGGTGCACCCAGTTATGTTCCATGTATCTCCCCGCCTATCCCCGCTTATGTCCCAAGTGCCTCCCCGTCTAGCCCTTGTTCTTTCCCAGGTGCACCCGGTTATGTCCCAGGTACCTCCCCGCCTCTCCCGGTTATGTCCCAGGTCTCTCCCCCGTTGTGTCCCAGGTGCATCCGGTTATGTCCCAGCCTATCCCAGGTTATGTCCCAGGTGCATCCGGTTATGTCCTAGCCTCTCGCCGGTTGTGTCCCAGGTGCACGCGACTATGTCCCAGGTGTTTCCCCACCTATCCTTGGTTGTGTTCCAGGTACATCCAATTATGTCCCAGGTCCCTCCCCGCCTCTCCTAGTTTTGTCCCAGGTACACCCCGTTTTGTTCCAGGTACCTCCCTGCCTATCCCCGCTTATGTCCCAGGTGCACCTGGTTGTGTCTCAGGTACCTCCCCGCCTCTCCCGGTTGTGTCCCAGGTGCACCCGGTTATGTCCCAGCCTATCCCGGGATATGTCCCAGGTCCCGCCTCACCTCTCCTGGGTTATGTAGCAGGTACACCCGGTTATGTCCCTGCTTATGTTCTAGGTCCCTCCCCGCCTCTCCTGGTTGTGTTCCAGGTACCTCCCCGCCTATGTCCCAGCTGCACTCGGTTGTGTCTCAAGTCCCTCCCCGCCTAGCCCTTGTTCTGTCCCAGGTGCACCTGGTTGTGTCCCGGCCTATCCCGGGATATGTCCCAGGTACTCTCGGTTATGTCCCAGGTCCCTCCCCACCTCTCCCGGTTATGTTCCACGTACACCCGGTTATGTTCCAGGTCCTCCCCACCTCTCCCGGTTGTGTCCTGGGTACACCCGGTTATGTCCCAGCCTATCCCGGGATATGTCCCAGGTCCCTCCCCACCTCTCCCGGTTGTGTCCCAGGTGCACCCAGCTGTACTCTGCCGGAAAGTTTCTGCCTGCATCCTCCCCGGAGATGTGGCTTTAAAATGAAGGAGTTTTTGGGAATGTTTGGTAGTTGGAGCAAGAAGAACGTTTGGAGGTTGCCGTGCGGGAGCTGGATAAGCAGAAGTGGGGCTGTAAGAACATTATGGGGTTAAATAAAGCTGAGGGCAGGTGCTGTAGCTGGGCTGAGAAAACCCCCGGTACTGATCTGGGTAGGGATGAACTGATGGAGAAGAGTTTGGGGGTCTGGTGGTCAGAGCTGGGCACGCCCAGGCCGTGTTGGTAAAAAACCTCGAGTCCTGGAATGATCCCACACCATGGGCAGTACAAAAGAGGGGAATTGTGTTCTTCTGCCCCACTCAGGTGAGACCCTACCTGCCTCCAGCCCTGGGATCCAACATCCAAAGGATGTGGAGCTGCTGGAGCGAGTCCAGAACAAGCCATGGATACCCCCAAGGGCTGGAGCCAGACTGGGAGAGCTGGGAATGTTCAGCCTGCAAAGGAGAAGGATCCAGGGAGAGCTCAGAGCCCCTGGCATAGCCTAAAGGGGCTCCAGGAGAGCTGGAGAGGGACTGGGGACAAGGGATGGAGGGACAGGACACAGGGAATGGCTTCAAACTGACAGTGAGTAGATTTGGATGGGATACTGGGAAGGAATTGTTCCCTGGCAGGCCCTGGCACAGGGTGCCCAGATTTGCTGTGGCTGCCCCTGGATCCCTGGAGGTGTCCAAGGCCAGGTTGGACATTGGGGCTTAAGAGTATAAAGATTATAAACCTTCTGTTTTCTAGGTCTAAGTCCAAAGTCTTGTCCAAATCTAGCATCTCCTGGCTAATGAAGTGTGGGATAAATGACTGTGAAAGAAGGACCAAGGGAAATGAACTTCCTGTTCCAAATCCCTGTAGTCTTGGAGACATCCAGGACCACGATTAGAAAAAAAACAAATTAAAAGCCTTTAGGAAACAGAAAATAAAGTGTGTAAAAGTCAAGAAACAGCAGAGGGATAACACTTGAAAGGAAGAAAGAGAAGTGAAATGACTGACTGGCTGTCATTTGGTAGGATTAGTCCTCTGCCAAAGGGGAAGCCCTGTAGCACAAATTTAAGGATTAAAATAGATCCAGAGTTGAATCTTTTCTCTCCTTATTTTCTTTGTTGTGTGGATGGCAAAGAACCAGTTTCTGCAACAGCATTTTTGCTGTCAGGTTTTGAGATCAAGTACTCAGAGCCCTGAATGAGTCTGCTGCTCTTTCCATGTACCTTCCCTTTGCCCACCCTTGGGATTCGTTTCCCAGGACATCACCCACATGTTCAAACTAATCTAGATTTTATTGTAGCTGTCCTGCAGAATCCCAGGGGATTGTGATGGAGCCAGCTCCTGCCCCTTTGTTCATTCTGCCTAGGAGTGAGGACATCAAAAGTTTTTCAGTCATGATTTGTCCTCGTTATCCTGCACTAATGGATCAATGATTTTAAAGCCTTCCCAAAGACAACTTACAAGGGAGCTCTTTGATTTCACACCTTTATTTTCATAAGGGAAATCAAAGTGAGTTGACTGAAGTACTGGATATGCTCACTCTGTTGCTGTACTCACCTTTGCTTTTCCACACCAGGGGAAGTGAAAAGCAATAATATTTATTCCCAGCTATGAATGTTACACTCTTTTATACAACTGATGAGTTATTTTTGTTGTGCTCCTAAATATGTGCAGCAAAACTGCCAGAGCTGCTCAGGCCTGAGGTGCTTTAGGGATTTTTGAGGCTGTGACTGGAACAATCTGTAAATCTGGAAGCTGATTGACTTCTCATTTACATCACTGATAAGCAGGAATCACTCCTGTGGAACCGTGGTGGCTTTGCAGGTCTGGGGTGTGGGCAGGGGACACAAAGCAGGACACTGATGTTAATTTAAACCTGTAATTCGTTAATAAATGAATTATTGCTGCAGTCTGTCCTTTCTGGGCCTCAAGGTTCAAAGCTGAAGTGTGTTTGTTCCTGTTTTGTGTTTCCCTTCATGAGAAATGTGCTCCTGCCAAGCTTTCTTCAGGTGTTAACCAAGAGTTAAATTAAATTCTCCCCAAAATTGGCACTCCTTAGTCCCAGCTTACCTCTATATCTGCACAAAATGGGAATTTTATAGACACCAAAGATCAAGTACAAGCCTAAGGCAGGAAGCACCAGGTTCAGTAAAATGAAAGTTAAAGAATTACTTCTAACTTCTACATATTAAATCCATTCAATAGCACAATTTATGTTGATGGCAGTGAAAAAGAAGAGGTTTGTCCTGTTGTCAGATCATGATCTGTGACAAATATAACAGAGCTGATCCCCTGACCACCATAAAACCTCACTGCTACTGATGAGGGTCTATATTCATTTTATTTCCACATTCTCATTTTAATGAAAATGTGTCACAAGTAGGGCTAATGCTATTAAAATTTTGATAGCCAGTAAAAAAAAATGCTTCTAATTCACAATTCATAAATATCCCAATGCTGGGGTTTTACAGCTGGGAAAAAATGGTAATTTTTGGATTGTGATATGGAGAAAATAAAAGATTTTTCTTTTTTTTTTCTCCAGCAAATGTAATATAAACTGTCCTGAAAAAAGCATTTTTCATTAAACTGTAAAATGTTCAAGCTGACATATTTTACATGCTTAGGCATAATGTATTTCTTGACACTGTGCATGTGTGTTTTTCATTTATTAAGAGGAAACTGAAAAATGCTTCTTTCCATAAAACCTGAAAGTTTTATCACATCCTTATGTCAACTCTTGGGGTTTTCATCTGATTTTTTTTTTAATGTATCACACGGAATTGGAGACACTTCTCTTGGAGCAAAGGAACATTCCTTTTCATTTCTTACTTCCAAGAAATCCAAATGCAGTATTTGGCCATGAATGATGTTTGAAATTCTTGTCACAGCATTTTTTTAAAAGGATGAATGGAAACAGAGCTGCTGCCCTGCTTGAGATAGATTTGCAATAAAAAAAA